TGGGCTACTGGTTTCATCTTAAGCATGCAATTTAATTGTACTGCTCGATGAAACCTGACTCGCTTATGCGGGGCTGATCCTGAGAAAAACCATGGAAGTATCAGTTCGTGAAGAAGGCCAGATGCATTTAGTCTACTTTTATGCAGCCAGCTAGAAGATATCAGGCGCTGAAGAAGTCAGGCAGTTGTTGCTCGTGTAGTTTGTAGGTGATAGGTGTCCTTTAGACTAGAAGCCCCAGAGGGTGGGGGTTGTATTTATACATTAAGTGTGATCAAGTATTTTGCCACCTGTTGGTGTTGACGTCTATCTGAATTTTAAGGAAGAATTTTGTCTTTGGGTGTTTTGTTGATGCGCAGAGCATCAATGGGGTATCAACCCATCAACTTGTAAAACTTTTTCACTTGAAGTTTACCTTCTTTCTGTCAACATTTGTAGGTGTTTTCAAAAGGTATAATGTAGCATTTTTCAATATCAGATCTGCAGTTTTAGCATATTACGAGTTAAGAACCCATTAAGGCCTATTCGCATTGCAAAGGAGAATAAAAGCCCTTTACAGGAAAAGTGTGGAGTTCGAGAATAACAGTTAAAAATCAAGAAAAAATGTTTCGTTATCATATAGCAAACGCATACGCTGCGGCGGTTCGCTGCCTGTTCAACAAAGAGTCTGCTGCTTCTCTCTACTGTTGGTCGCTGGCAGTCAGATCAACCGTGTCAGGGTCGATTCCATGCCTACAACGACAATAAGAAGACGAAGGCAAATAAGAAACACCGCATCTGACATCTTTAGTGCGACCCAGGCAGAGCAGAGGAAACCCTAAGGCATGAATTGCATCATTAACTGCAAGATAAGACAATAACAACTAAACAAACCGCTGAAAAACAACAAACAACTGCACAAGGACAAATCAATGAAGGAATATGTGTAAGGAAGCAAAGGCAATACAACCTCACCGACGTAGGTTTGCCCGCTCAAGGGCATAAGGCCAGCACGTGAGGTTATAGTTGCGGTAGTCCGGAATTCCATAAGACCTAAAACGAAGACATGGTTTTAAGGCAAGTTCGCACCACAAGAAATGCAACAGGCAACAATAAAGAGATACTTTGCTCCTTGGGTTTAGGGTTTATAGCTGTGCGGCGGCTTGCAAGGGGGAGATGGTTGCTCTAATATGCACTTAAACTCTCCCACTAAGATGTATTTCCTATGCAATATCGACAATGGATGCAACGCAAGAAGAAAAGCGGATGAATATCCAAGAAAAATGAGATGAAAGCAACGAGAAGGAGCAAATAAAGAAAACCGGCGGCAGTAGGAACAAAGACAACAAAACAGACAGACTGCGCAGAAAGAAAGTGAACAATAAAGTTTTCTTTAAACTTGTTTAAAAGGAAGAAAACATATCTTTGGCAAGATATCAAAAGGAAGCGAATTGCTTGTCTTTTCTGTAATATGAGTGCATATCTTCTGTCTTCCCTCTCCTCACCATCTCGCATATTTGTCAAGAGCCACTATACCAAAAACACCTCCCCAAAATGTTTTTGAAAACCATCCCGACCTGAAAAGAAGGCCCATATGCGCCATTTCCTGGGGGATAGCAGAGAAAAGAGCGAGTAAACAACGCAAAAATTGAAGAAAAAGATCCTCTAAGAGAACAAACAAACGGGGGAAATCGACGTCAACACATAAGAGGAACAACTGTCAAGATTAATTTAAGTGTAAATATTGACTTTCGGGGGAGTAAATGAGTAAATATAAAGTGCAGAGGGAGAGATGAAAAGTAAGAACAGGGAATTCAGCTGAACTCCGCATAGCCTCCGGCAAGTTCTGCGTGATACTGAGATTAAAATAGCATTCTCTTTATGTTTATTTGTCAATACTTAAACAGTTTTCCCCTCAATTACTTAAAATCACCGAATTTCCTCACACTTCATTCGCGTTTTAAGCTGACTGCTGGCGCATGCCACCGGAGTCCTACTTACCGCGCCGTTTTTCTTGTATTCCCCCTCGTCTTTGATTATTTCGATGCTTTTTTTTTCGGTAATGTAAATTCAGAGGCAAATATATTTTATCCTAAAAACATGCACGAGGTGCCGGCGCCACGGGGAAGATCGAGTGTCGCCAGCCCTAAGAGCAACACAGTTTATGCCATTGACTTGGCATATATACTTGCTATTCCTTATTATCTGTTTTTGGATAATTTCGAATTAAGTATAATTTGTGAACACTCTTCTTTATGTTCTCGCCTTTCCAAGGCGATTTTATCTATTCCTTATCAGTTTTTCGCCCTGCTGCTCTGCTCAACTGTGGCGGGCGAAGATCATGAACGGCGGTATAAATGATTTGCACGGCAGACTGTTAATTCGTCTTTAAATCTTCATTATCTGCTAGTTTTGTATTCGAAAAAGTAGTGTATAGGCATACGTATGTACAAAACCACATATCTTGCCTTTTGTACATTCTAACTAGGGATATATATATATATATATATATT